TATACCAAGTAAGCATTTCATCCATCTAGTAACCCTTCCCTGATTAAAAAATTATTACACTTATGCATCAACCCAATGTTTCTTGCAGTTCGTTTCAATTCAGCCATCAATGCCCGATGGATCAGATGCAGAGTACGCTGCTAACAAAGACTCATCTGGTGATGAATGTTGCCGCGCTAAAAAACACAATAGAAAGTGCACGGCTGATGGCAGTAGCTCAAAAAAGAGTCTAGAACAGCCTTCCATACAGGCCAGCAGAACCCCAAATATGTTCTGGGAAATAGGCAAGCCTAAGAAAGAACAATTTGTGGGCTGTCTGTGAATGCCTTGACTGTGGCAAGCGTCGGATCTTCGAACAAAAAGATCTTTGCGATCGGTTGTACCATGCGTGTATAGGTATATTCTCATTTGGCTCTATTCACTAATCCACAGCCGTCAGATGGATGTTTCTGCTGTGAGCCTCTGATTCTAATCTAATATAGATATATGTGTGTCGCAGCTATTCACTCATTATTGTTCACTTTCTCATCTCTCATTTTCTCTCTTGTGTAGGTTTGTTCTTTTTTTTTTTTTCTTCTTCTCCAATCCTCTCTGTAAGGTAAGTTTCTTCTTTCAATTCTTGGTTTTTGTATTTTGTGAAGTTTTAGAACTGCTGATCTTCAATCTAGTGACAAGTGGACTGACTATGTCTTCTTAGATGCTGTATTTTGACTGTCCTTTGAGCGATTTTGTGAGTGGTGTGTTCTTGCCACTTTAAATTGAACAAACATGCTTTAGAGTGATAGTTGTAAGGGGATAGGGACTAGCGAGTTGTTTGGTCGCATCTTTGGGGTTCGGGTCTTGTGATTTTGTGTTGGAATCATTTGTAAGTGGGTGCAGAAGAGGCTGAGCCTTACACTTTGTTAACTCAAAGTGTTTTCGGTTTTTGAAAGAGTATTTTAGTTTTCGTTATGTTTTGTTTGTACTTGCTCAATATTTGTTGCTTTTCGTTAATAAAATCACATAATCTGTCCAAAAATTTATTACAAAATCCTTTGTTTTTATATTATTTTTAGGAGAAAACTTTGTTTTAGTTTGGCAATTGATGTTGTTACTACAAAAAAAAAGTAATAAACAACGGAGAGACTCATGTATGTCATCATAGTCTTTTATTACATCAATACATCATAAATTGAATATTGTAAATTTGTTGCATACAATGGCACTAACATCACTTGTTTTTTATATGGTCCTATTTGTTGTAGAAATGTTTCAATAAAAGGGTTCACTCATGTTGTAGGCATTGAGTTTCAATACAATGTTACAGTTATAATATGATTTTAAAAATACAAACTCGATTTTTAATGAAATAATTTGTCATATTTCAATAATTTATGTGATTACTGTGTATGTTTTAGTAATTCTATTTCTTTCCTTGTAGTATGTCAAATTGAAGTCTAATGGAGATCTGCCATCAGATCCAATGATAAAACATCATATTCACAACGTCCTCTTCGATTTCAAAATGCTCATACCACAGACGAGTCGTGTCCGAATGGTATTTTGTCAACACAAACCACGTGCATATGCTGGACACCATGCTACATGTGTAAGTACAATATGAATACCATTGAGTTTTTTTTTTAAAGATAGTGCCCTAATTGTAAACAGCTGTTCAAGGCTGCAGAAATTCAAGCTCCAAAAATAAGGTGTCTATTTTCAAGTTACTGGACAGTCTCCAACGATTCTGAAGATCTCCCTACTTCCTGAGATATTTAAGAGATGTTTCAGTGAGGAAGTTATCTAATAATGAACTGTGCAGTATTTTAATTTGAAAGGCGAAAGAGGATCTCAAACATTTGAAGCATAAGCTAGATATGTTAACATGTATTAGACATATTGAAATAATCCTTTAGAGTGTATAGAACATTGGGGGAACGTATGTTTTTTTATAAGACTTCAATTATTTTAGGATTTATGCTATTTGTTTGATTTAGGTGGATCTGGTCTAAGAAATGTTATAGTGACACTACTCTTATTTATTTTTGCTCTTGAAATTGTTTCACATCTTTTTAAAATTTAAGATATTAAAAATATTCAAAAAATAAAGCAAGACACCTCTTGTGTCTGCTGGTGAATACAGAATTGTCTCGATCAGAATCGATGTCAGATCCAGACTGGCATGAAGGATGATAGGGTTTATAACAATAGGTGCAAGTAGAGTTTCTAAGCCTCATACGTCTTTTTCCCTTTTCTATTTGTTTTGTTGCGTGGGTAGGGGTTTCTAAGTCAGCCCTTATTGGTTTTGCTTGATTTTAGGTTGTTTATCTTGAGTTTGACCGATGAGATGAGGGAGGCAACAAGATTCGATTCAAGGTTATTTACACTGGAACTCGATTAAAAAGAAGAGTTAATGGATTGGGCTAGGATTAGGAATAGATTAAAGCACCGAATGGTGGATTCTGGCAATTGGAGTGAACAGAAATTGGCTTTGGGAATGAATCTATATCGGCGGCATAGCTCTTAGCCAAATTTTGCTTCCAAGGTACAGATATCTTTCTACTTTCTTAATTATTTAATTTTTGTTAGTATATATCATATAATTGTATATTTCCTTATTATATTATACTTATAGTCATGTGTATATTATGAAATTTAGATGGTGATTGATGTGTGTGGTTCTTTTGAATTGACAATCTTTAAATACAGGAGATTGTAAGATTTTAGCTAAAAAATTACAAGATGCTAAATAATATTAGAAAGTAAAAAACAGTCAAGAAAATTTTAAAATATATTTTATTATGTTAATTATTGATTAATTTTTTAATCTATTTTTTTATAATGTTCAATAAATTTATTTATTATATTTATGTTGTATATAAAATTTAGATAATAAAAATATTTTAATAAAGATAAATTAATCATAATTACTCTTGTCCGATATTAGAGTTTTGTGAGCCTTATTAGTTCTGATTTAGGTGTTTAAGGCAAGTAGAAGATTTAATTTACTTTGAGCTTTGATTTAGGATGCGTTCGTCCATTAGTTGATTGATTTTAGTAACTAGCTGGTTTGTTTATCTAATTCAATTAGTTATTTGAAATTGTGAAAGTTATATAAAATATTTATTTTTATTGTTTTTAGATTTGGGAAAAATAAATATTTTAATTGAGATATATATATTGAGAATGATGTAAATTAATAATTAATAAAATTTTTGTGTATATATATTATGATAATTATGATTAATTTATTATTTCATTTATAACTATTAATAAATTTATTCTATTCTACTTATTTTCTTATGTTAATTTTATATAATTAGAAATTATATATAAAAATAAATTAATAATATTTATGTTTTCTATTTTGATTTAATTTTAATAAACTTATATATTTTAAAATAAAATAATGTATATATAAATTTATAACTTTAAATATATAAAAATAAAATTATAATCTATTAAATAAAATAAACAAAAATATCTAATAAATACCGCAACATAAAATATATATGGGTGTGTGTGAAAATAAATGATAAATTTTTAAAGGTAATAAGAAATTAAAAAAAAAAATTATTCCTGAGTTATATAGCCTCTTACTGTTTGGATACAATAAGAAATAATTATTTCACTAGTTAAACAGCTAAAAACTATTTATTGAAAAAATTATTTGCCAAACATTGAACCATATAAAAAAGTGAAGAAAAATTTAGAATAATTAATATATATATATATATAAATCTGAATTTATTTGTTTATCTAAGAACATTTTGTGCTTTACTTTTTTATTTGTTTGCAACTTTTGTAGATCTTATTATTTTTTTAAAAAAATATCACATTAAATTAAAATATGGCGCAAAATATTATAAAAACTTATATGTAAATAGTTATATAATATTTCAGCCATTAAATTGTATTAAAACAACATTTGAATGTAATATTTTGTAAAATTAATGAGTTTGTTTAATTTTTGAGGGTGGTCACTTGATTTCAGTTTTTATTTAAATAATATTTCAATTTGATATTTTATGAAAAAAATAATATATTATTATAGAACATCATGCAAGCTAAATTTTATTTTTGTGTCTGAAATACAAACCAAACATATTCTCTCTCTCTATATATATATATATAAAGTAATAAAATAAAATAAAAAATAGAAAATAACTGAATAAAACTTAAGTTTGGGTATTATTTTCATTTTTATTTATATGTGAAAGAAAAATAAATTAATAATAATTGATAGATAAATTAAATTTTTATTTATAATTTCTTTGTTGGAGGTATCAGTTTTTCATTAATGGAAATGGGTGGAATTTATGGTAGATAGCTGTTCTTCTAGAAAAACCTTTTAAATAGAATAATAATAATAAAATATATATATCTTTCAGCCACGTGTTATTATTTCATTAGTGGAAGTTGAAGTATTTGGTGGAAGTTGAAGAAATTGACAGTAACAGTTTATGCAGTTCTAGAAACATCTTTTTAATAGTATATAAAAATAAAAAAGCGAAGACAAATAAATAAATAATAGCGTGTCAATTTACAATAGATTAGGTTTCCGAGCTTCCTCCCTAGTCCTCCTTTTTCTCTTGTTTGTGTTAGTGAGTAGGGTTTTTGAGCCAACTTTGCTAGTTTTGCTTGATTTTGATTTGTTTTTCTTGAATTGGAGCAATGGGTGATGGAAAGGTGTTAGAGGGTTGAACTAGGAATAGATTACAGCACATAACGGTGGGATTGGGATTGTGGCTCTGAGTGACCATTAATTAGCTTTGGGAATGAATTGATGCAGCGGGAGATAGCTCTGAGCCAAATGTTGTTTTCATGGTTGACATATCTTTCTATATTCTTAATTATTTAATTAGAGTTAGTATATATCAGATAATCATCTATTTCCTTATTATTATATTATGTTTATAATGGTGTGTATGTTCTGGTATTTAGATGATGATCAACGTGTGTGTGGTTCTCTTGAAAGGGCAATCCAACTTGCCGAAATGCACAAGAAAAACAACGGTTAAATATTTATACCAGGTATGCAATTCATCCATCTAGTACCCTGCCCTGATTCAAAGATTCTTACACTTATGTATGAACCCAATATTTTTTGCAGTTCGTTTCAGTTCAACCATCAATGCCTGATGGATCAGATGCAGAGTACGCTGCCAACAAAGACTCATCTGATGATGAATGCGGCCGCGCTAAAAAACACAATAGAAAGTGCAAGGCTGATGACAGTAGCTCAAAAAGGGTCTAGAACAACCTTCCATACAGCCCACAGAACCCCATATATGTGCTGGGGAAGATCAGGCCTAAGAAAGAACAATCCGTGTGCTGCCTGCAAATGCCCTGAATGTGGCAAGCCTTGCCGGATCTTTGACCAGAAAGATCTTTCCGATCGGTTGCACTGTAGGGGCCTCAGGTATTCATTTTGATTCACTGCAGTGCTTAATTATTGACACATATAATCTCCTGAATGAATGTATGGATGGATAGATCATGTTGTTTTCTTGCCACATATAATCTTGTTTGGCTCTATACACTTGCAAGATTAATCCACAACCGTCTGATGTATGGCTTTGTTGTGAGCCTTTGATTCTAATCTAATATAGATATATGTGTCCCAGCTATTCACTCATTTCTTTCTCCGTAAGGTAAGTTTCTTCTTTCAATTCTTGCCTTTTGTAATTTGTGAAGTTTTAGAACTGGCGATCTCTAGTCTAGTGACAAGTGGACTGACTGTGTCTTCTTAGGCGCTGTAGTTTGAATGTCCTTTGAGCAATTATTTGAGTGGCGTGTGCTTGTCCACTTTAAATTGAACAAATATACTTTAGATCGGTAGTTGTGAGATGATAGGGGTTAGCGAGTTGTTTGGTCGCATCTTTGGGGGTTAGGTCTTGTTAGTTTGTGTTTGAATCATTTGTAAGTGGGTCTAGAAGATGCTGAGCCTTACACTTTGTTAACTCAAACTGTTTTCAGCTTCTGAATGAATATTTTAGTTTTCATTATGTTTTGTTTGTATTTGCTCAATTTTTGCTGCTTTTCGTTAATAAAATAACATAATCTGTCCAAAAATTTATTACAAAATCCTTTGTTGTTGTATTATATATTAGAAGAAAACTTTATTTTAGTTTGGCGATTAATGTTGTTACAAAGAAAAAAGGTAACAAACATCGGTGAAACTCATGTATGTCATCATAGTCTTTTTTTACATAAATACATCATAAATTGAATATTGCAAATCTATTCCATACAATGGCACTAGCATCACTTGTTTTTTATATGGCCGTATTTGCTGTAAAAATGTTTCAATAAAAGGGTTCACTCATGTTGTAGGCATTGAGTTTCAATACAATGTTATAGTTACAAGATAATTTTAAAATTACAAACTAGATTGTTAATGAAATAATTTGTCATACTTCAATAATTTATGTGATTATTGTGTATGTTTCAGTAACTCTATTTCTTTCCTTGTAGTATCTCAAAATGGAGTCTAATGGAGATGCTACCATCAGATCAAATGCTAAAACATCATCATATTCACAACGTCCTCTTCGATTTCGAAATGCTCCTACCACGGAAGAGACACATTCGAGTGGTATTTTGTCAACACAAAAGGCATGCATATGTTGGACATCATGCTACATGTGTAAGTACAATATGAATCCTATCGATTTTGTTTTTTATTAGATAGTGCCCTAATTGTAAAAGACCGTTCAGGGCTGCAGAAATTCAAGCTCCAAATATAAGGTGTCTGTTTTCAAGTACTGGACAATCTCCAATGAATTGTCAAGATCTCCCTACTTCCTGTGATATTCAAGAGATGTTCCGGTGAAGAAGTTATCTAATAATGAACTGTGCAGTGTTTTAATTTGAAAGGCGAAGGAAGATCTCAAAACATTTGAATTATAAGTTAGATATGTTAACATGTATTAGAAATATTGAAATAATCCATTAGAGTGTATAGAACATTGGGGAGAATTTATGTTTTTATATAAAACTTCAACTATTTTAGGCTTTATGCTACGTTTGATTATTGTGGATCAGGTCTATGAAACTACTCGTGTTTATTTTTTCTCTTGAAACTGTTTCATATCTTTTTCAAATTTAAGATATTGGAAATATTCAAGAAATAAAGCAAGACACATCTTGTGTGTAAGCATGATGTAAGCGTAAATGGTAATTGGATGTTATAGAAACTTAAGAAGTGAATTACTTTGTGTTTTGACATGTTTGTCCGGGCATTGAATTGGGTTTTTTTACGAAGGATTAACGACTAATTGTATTCTATTGGACTGTGCTACTATATAATTTCATTTTACCATAAGTGGTTGGTGACAATGGAAAGCCAAATCAATTATCTTTCCAATCGTAAAAAGTGGAATGCCATACTCAAAGTATCGAAAGAGATACAGTCATTCAAAATTGGTCTCTAAGTTAAGTAATCTATTTGGGGGTTTTAATTATTTAAAACGTAACTAATGAGTCGATAGAAACATGTATCCTGCCGCATTTTATAATGTTTTAAGGAGGTTTCAATATGATCTTGTGGGTTGGTTTGCAAGATTAATGAGAATAGAACATTGTTTTGTCTTGCATTCCAAAAATGATAGTCGAACTTAACATACAATCTCCATACATGTCTCGTTTTCTTGTTTATGTCTCATTATGGATGCGCTGCTCTAGTGATGTATCTCTCAAGAATAAAATATAACCACGTCAAGAATTAATGTTGCAAGAAGTTATTCGTCAACTTAAAATAAAAATCTCAATGGAAGAGTTGTAAATCAAGGACTTATAAAAATGACAAGTTAGATTATGAAATAACAATCAATTATTGTTAGTTTTTGTATTCAAATTAATAAAAGTTAAAGACATTCCAGATATATAACGCAAATAACTATTTTATATATACTAGTACTCGTGAAAGCGCGCTACGCCACGTCACTTGTTTGCTTGTTTAATTTTTTTTAAAAGGAAGAAGTATTTACGTTATGTATTTTAATCAACGGGTGGCGGTATGGGTGAATTGAAAAGTTTTGAGTTAGTTGGGCAAGGGCTAACCTTAGGGACTTGTGAAGTTTTGGGGAAACTGGTAGCCTTCCAAAAGAGGCTTTTCAGTCTTGGTATTCCAGGGTATCCTCATATCTTCATCATAAGGTTGTAGTGGCCATGGCGCCTTTCTGGAACTCGCAAGTGGGCGTTTTCCTTCTCCAATAAGTTAGTATGTTCTATATATATCAATATATCAAGATGTCAAAATATACATATATTATGAGTATTTATAAAATAGTTATCGTATAATATAAATATGAAAATGCTACTCTTTCCATTTGATTCCAGTAGAGAGGATTGACAAGCGGCAAAAGGATCCTGATCCGACCCAACACAAATCGGAGGTGGAAGGATGTCCCCGGTGAGAACAATACTAATATGAGAAAGACTGAGAATATTCCTTTAAATTTTTTTTATACTATCCAACCAAACATTTTAAATTTTTTCTTTATTGTGTTTTTTAAATATTCATTTATATTATACTTTTGTTAATTTTTTATTGTTCGGAATATAAAAAATTTGTGATGTACAAAATTATATATGTTGATATATTTGAAAGTTCTAAATAAATTTTAAAAATTAGATTATATGAATATGAATATATAAAATTAAATAAATAAACCGTTATGATAGATAATTATAGAATAGACAAAAAAGACAATGAAAAAAATTAATTTCGTCTGACCGACTTGGTCGGCTGAAAAGAGGAGAGGTGTCTGGTCGCTTGGGATGGAGTTTTTTTAATGATATAAAAATATACTATTATGAGAAAGCCTGAGAGAAAAAAAAGGTGCCTTACGGACTTGGTTGGATGGAAGGAGCAGAAACGTAAATTCGGTTGGTAGTTATAAAAATTGGATTATGTAAAAAATTATATAAATTAATATATTTGTAATTTATAAATAATTTTTCAAAATTAAATTTTATGAGGGAGGTGGTGGTGAACGGTCCAGTCGGCCGCAAAATAAAATTTCAATAAGTAAATAATATAAATATATGTATGGAACAAACGTCCAATCGGCCGATTTTAAAAATTAGATTATATGAATAAGAATATATAAATTTAAATAAATAAACCCTTATGAGAGAGAGAATGATAGAATAGACAAAAAAGAAAATCAAAAACAAGAAAAGAAAGTCTTACCGACTTGGTCCGATGAAAGGAGGAGAGATGTGCGGTCGGTTGGGATGGATTTTTTTAATGACATAAAAATATACTATTATGACAAATAATGAGAAAAAATAAAGGTGTTTGACCGACTCGGTCGGATGGAAGGAGCAGAAACGTACAGTTGGTTGCTAGTTATAAAAATTGGATTATGTACAAAATTATATAAATTAATATATTTGTAATTTCTAAATAATTTTTAGAAATTAAATTATATGAGGGAGCTATAGGTGAATGGTCCATTCAGGCGAAAAAAAATTTTGGAAAAATAAAAATTATAAATATATGTATTGAAAAATCGTCCAGTCGGCCGTATATTTTTGGGCTTTTGCGTGGCCAAGAAACTTGAAAAACCAGTAAATAAATTGTATAAATATATGTATTGAACAACCATCCATTCGGGCCCCTTTTTGGGGGTTTTTCGTGTCCAAGAAAATTGAGAAACTCTGCATTAGTTTCAAATGATTTTTTTAATATATCATAGGTTTAAAATATTATAATTAAGATATTGTATTAAAGTAAACATTTCCTACAAGGAAATCACTACAAATCACCTACTATGTTCTATATGTATCACTAATATTAGAAATATTAATGTTATATTGTTATGTATTAGGAATTCAAGAAAATGAGTTAAGTAATCTTACTTATCCGATGTTACAAAATCAGGCCGTTGGAATACAACCGACTACGCGATTTGTCATCGTTGTAATGGTTTTTAAGAAAGGAGGAGAGATAGCGGGGAAAAACGTGTTATGGGAATGAGAGGAGGAGTCCATTCGGTTGTGATGAAAACAGCAGAAAAAGGGAACCCTTTCTTGGGTTAAATATAATATTATGAGATATTGGAAGAGTTTATGTTTTTTTTTACGTAAATATTTCATAAATTTAAAATACATTGTAATTTGGATTGGTTACTTAAACAAATTTTTTTTTTCCACATCTTTGGTTAATATAATAAGTACGCATGTATTTTTTTTCTATTACATATGAGAATGAGGCAATTTTGGTGACCTGGAAGTAATTGATAAAGGCAGAAACGGAGAATTCTTGTATAATATGCTTGTTAAAATATACTAATATAAGGATTTCGGGAAAGCATGTAGATGGGAGAAACTTTTAAAAATAAATGGTAGTAGCGGTGGAGCATGCAACCATTCGGTGTGAATTGATAGAGGAGATGGAATCTGCTCTAACAATCATACACCGACGGAATTAGCTGATGAAGGGCATGCAGAAATTAGTGCAATACAGACCAAAGAAGTTTCCTCTGTTGAGGGTGCTTAACTACGAAGTTAACCAAGTAATTACAGACCCAAGCTATTCATCGAGGTTAATAATTTGGGCGGCCTACCTCTCACTTCTTTGTCGCCAATTTCATTTTCTTTGCTGACGTTGGCACTTGTGCTTCTTTACCTTTCTTTTTCTGGGCTGCTTCAATTTCGGGATCTGGTATTAATGGCCAGAGATTCTTGCAGATTCCACCTATTATAGAGAAGTCAAATTTAATATGTAACCAAAACATAGATTCTGAAGTCGTTTGTTGTACTTTATGAACCTGTAATTACCTGATTTTTCTGCTGGAAATGCTGTTGATGAAGTTGTAATCTGTGATAATGATGGAGTGAGGGTTGAAGATTGGGCAGTGTTTGGGGTGGATTTATTCGGTGAATCATTTGTGAGAACCTCTCTATCTATGGCTAAGAAGTCGTAGTTGTAAATAAATTTTGGGAATTGGAAATATGATTTATTACATAATATAAAATTAATTATTTCTATTTTATAACCTGAATTCCATGGTTCCATGTTGTTGATAGTGTAGCTTTCGGTGCTAAATCTTGTGGATACAGATGTTTTTTTCTTAATTGTGAAGAGGAAGTTGCTGCTCTTCACTTTGTTGTTTCACATTTCACAAAGTGTTGCATGTCCTATATAAAACATTAGTGTTAGAGATTTTGTGTGAAAGTAAATACAATTTAATTTTTTTTATAACCTTTTGTTTTTTTCCCTTCAGAGTGTCCAGGTCACAACCGAGAAGCAAACTGACAATTTTCTCGTACCCAACACATTTTATGGAAGCGGTGTCGTCAGTAACCGTTGCTGTTAATATGTATCTGACTGGTAAAAGGAGATGTGTTTGGTTATAGTTTCTAAGTAAAAGGTTAATAAAGCATGTGGGTACCTTTCTTTGCTTGTCTAAACACATGAGTATTTGAAGCAATAGAATGTTCGAGCTGTAGGTGTTTTTGTTGACGTATGGCATTTTCCACATGCAGTGTATGAGTATTTCATGTTTGTTGACAGTAATATTTGAAAGGAAGCTCGTGTTTTATGATCCACTAACTGTATGTGCAGTTTTTACAATTTAATAAATTGACAGTAGTATTCGATCTAATTTGTTTTGAAAGAGGTTGGTAAACGAACCTGTGATTGATGCATTTTTTGGACTGTAATCAAAGGCAACATGTCGGTGGAATGTTGGTGACCAGGTGTTCCAGAGTGTTTCATTTGAACGAGCTCATCAAGATAATTTTTTTCGTCCTGTTTCCTGTACGTAAGTTGTTATTTTAAATTGCTACAATACAATTTTTTAAGGGTAGAAATTTGTGGTA